GGACGGTCAGGGGGGTCTTAAACGTCCGATCCAACAACCTAGGTTTAATGGAGATATATTATATTCGACAGGTGATTATTTTTTGCGATCTACCCTGAATAGGCGAGATTCTGCCACAAGTCTACCTTTTCCTTGGGTACAACCTAGAGGTGGACTTAGGCCTAGTTAGCAGGAAGCTTTCGAGGGAAAATGTGTTATGGAGATTCATTCCTCATACACTAACTGTTTAGCTTGGGGATTGGCTTGTCCTGTGTTACAGGTCCTCTTGATCGTTTGATTTAGGATCTGGGATAGATTCAACTTGATCCTACAACGATCAGCATCTGTTATCACTGATAAGTTGTGAAAACAGGTCGGTTACAGATTTGTCGATTTATGACTCAACTCCAATTCACTCTCGTTACCCAACCTGAAGATTTCATCCGTGGTGTTTTTCTTTGTTTTATTAAGGTTTTCAAACGGACTTTTATTGAATGACCATTTAACAGAAGTACTTAGTATTTACTTTCAAAGGTTGGGGAAAGTTTGAGGCTTGCATGGCTAAAGCAAGGGGTATGAGTATATAGAATTGTTGAAGTTGACTCCGTATAGTGCGTGGACTTTGTTAAATCTTTGATGTGATTGCATGTATGTTTGTGGTTCCGACTTTGGATTTGACTGTCTGCGATCACATATATATATATATGGCTTAGAGGAGTCTCACTTTGATTGTGAGAAATGATTGTCACATATTTATAACCCTATATATATATATATGTACATACATACGCGTCGAGTGTTCGCACGACCTACTGAGACTGCGCGCACGGGCTAAACATACTATGCGTCACGAGAAAATGAGGACTCTCTTTTATCCTTTGTTTTTTGGAGTTCTATGGTTGGATGTTATAGTCTGTGACAGCCGTTACCCCTTTAGTTTTCTCCAGACACAGGATGATGGAGCTGGTCTCCAGGGCAATAAGAGACGATTGTCACCACAGGGACGAACCTGTGTACCACCCACTCTCCGCAGGATGCATAAAATTGTGTAGTTCTCAACCGCACTTAGCGATTGTCCAGCGTCGAGAGATTAACTCCTCAACCGACACTTGGGTGTCGAACGCGACCCTTGAGATTATCGATAGTCGCGTAATTATGGGTAGTACATAGTACACCATCGTTGCGACTACCTTCTTCCTGCGAACACTACGCACCCTCATTTTGCCTGTATCTGGCCGGAAATATAGCTTGTATACATTCATTTTTAGGGTGCGTTATGTTCGGCGGAAGATGCTACCGGTAGGGCAATCGCCATCCGTGGCTCAGTGGGCGGAGTCCCACTGTGCCGTCGTGGGGTGCCAGGTTGATCCCGGACACCGTCCCACCGCTCAATACGAGAATTTTTTTTTTTTTTTTTTTTTTTTAAGTCACACTGTGCAGTGCCAAGTACCAGGTTGGTCCCACGTCTCCCTCACCAAGTTTGTTGTTTGTCCCACGGCCTGCCGTGCAACGCTTCCTGCCTGGTGATGACAAGGATAATCATCCGGTCGCCTCGAGGTGCCCAAGCCCCCCTCCCCCCCTCGGCAAGTCCCGGGCCTCAAGCTGCCTCTAGTGTCAAGCCGGCCCGAGCTGGCGGCATCAGTAGCTCGGGCGGCATCAGTATCATCATGGTGCCACCTACATAGCTGCGGGGCCAACGTCGCACTGGCAGTCCCACTGTGCAGCCAAGGGGGACTGACTGGTAGTTCCAGGGAATTGGTGTCAAGGAGGGACTGGTAGTCCCAGGGATCTGATGACCAAGGACTTACCTGGGAGTCCCAGGGATCTTTTGCCAAGGACCTATCGGCAGTCCCAAGGGCCTGGTTCGCCCCCCAGGTCCTAGGCCCGGACCTACCCTCTTCCCCCGAACACAACGCACCCTTATTTTAGCTGTATCTGGCCAGAAACATACCTTGTATACATTCATTTTTAGGGTGCGTTATGTTCGGGGGAAAACGGTAGCGTAATGGAATTGGTGGTTCCACAGGGACCTGATGATGAGGACCGAGTCCCAAGGCCAGGCCCTGGTGCGCAGGGCCTGGTCACACTGCGCCTGCTGATATCCTCTAGTTTAAGTTATGGACATTCATTTTCTGTTCGGTAATGTCCGGAGGTGGGGGTAAGACCGGCGGTGGCACAGTACTTGTTTGCGTCAATGTTATAGGGCACGGACAGGAAGGTTGTGCGCATTTTGAGACGGCTTGGATCCTTCTTAGGGGGGGTGAGTTGTGCGCACACCGTACATGTATATCCGTCCTTGTTTGATTCAGAGGCATACAAGTTTTTTTTTTTTTTTTTTTTTTTTTTTGGGAGGGATAAAAGTGGAAAGACAAGGGAAAGCGGCAAAATTCTCATAACTTCAATCAAATAACGGAAGAAGAGGAAGGAGGGGGAGGCGCAGCAGTACGAGTAGGAGGAGGGGGAGGAGTAGCATTACGAGTAGGAGGAGGGGGGCTTTGAAGGGGCTATGTGAGGTGTGTGCGTACTTGTCGCAACTCTCTTAATTTGTATGTCATCAATAATGGCTCCACAGGCAGGAAGAGGCCTGAAGAACAAGAAGACTGGCAAGCAGCAGCAGCAGCAGCAGCGGAAGAAGAAGAAGAAGAAGAAGAAGAAGAATGTTTTCTTTGAAGAACAGGTGGAGGAGGGGGAGGAGGAGGGGAGGAGGGTTTTGGAGGCATGTATGTGGGGGGGGGTGTGGTTTCGTTTGTATGTGTGTGTGCTCTCATTTTTCAAATGAAGAAGCCCCATCTCTGTGATGAGTGTAGATTCGTGGTTGTTGTTTTGCAGAATCTGCCCTTGCTCAGTTTCACAGACGATAGCGTTGAGCTTACGTGCAATGCTACCAAGTACGATGGGAGACTGGGAAAAGCAGCCGAACAAACTTCTCACTTCCTGTCCTCATCCGCTTATTCTCAAGATTGGGCCATTCGACTCTCTTTCAACTTCAAGCACTTGAAAGTACTTATTGTCAGTTGCCCCGTGCGCTCTTCGTGCTAAGTACTCATTCTCAATTGTCCCGTGCGCTCTTCGTGCTGTTCTCGTGCTCATCCGACTCCTCAGCGTGCTCTTCGTGCTGTTCTCGTGCTTATCTAGGTCCTCAGCTGCTCTTTGTCCTGTTCTAATCTCTCTCTCTCTCTCTCTCTCTCTCTCTCTCTCTCTCTCTCTCTCTCTCTCTCTCTCTCTCTCTCTCTCTCTCT